TGCTGAACCAACTGCAACTTCCCCTTTTAACCTCTTCCCCCCAAAAAATAAAAAGGATGCAATCACATTTGCATGCCTTATGACATCTGCTAGTCTGGGTTTTCTTTTGTTTTCTTCCCAGCTGACATAGCTGCAAAACCCCAAAATGCAAAGAAGAAGCGTGACTGCGTGACAATGACTAAACATTAAGTACAGAGATAAGGAACAAAGTTCACAGGCACGTAAGACAGCCTGCCACATTTGTTCCTAACATGATCCAAGCTAGCAGCAGCAGCTGCTGCCACAGGCAGCGTGGAAGTGACTGTCACACCATAGACAATTTCTGCTTTTTTGGTAGTTTGTAAAGCAACAGCTGTCACAGATAAAACCTAACAGAGCCTCACACTGGATAAAGAAATAGTCACGTTTATTGTGAAGCAAATAGATGGTAGCGGGAACACAATGTCCTAAGCATTTTATGGGCTGTGTCATTCACTTCTCAACCCTTCTTATGAAAAGATCTGTGAAGTTGTCAGCTATTACCTTTGGGAAAAAAACCAGCTGGTGTAACATGGATTGCCTTCCTACTGCCAGGTGGGAGAAGAGGAATGGGATTATTGCATACTTGTAACACTGCTTGCAACATTGCTTACACATCTCAACGATTGTGAAAACTTCACTAGCCATGACTTGGGGATCTTGGGATTCACATTACTGAACGCCAGACACTTTGTGCCACCAGGTCTGCTCCTTGTTGAGCAAGCAGCCCCTGCCTCTACTCTCATCTAGATAACCTGCTTTTCAAAGAGCAGCCTCTGTACAGTCTTATTCCTGTTTTGATCTTTCCACCAAAGCACCAACATCTTGCCCTTATATATGACAAACCCTTCCTTCAAGGTCTGGCTTATCACCCGCATGCAAATGCTGAGCCACACACAGTTTTGGGGAGGTCAGAGTCGATGCTTTTTGGCAGTCGGTCAGGTGCAGGTTAAGGAACAGCATCCAGGATGGATCCTCTTTCCAGGCACCAAGACTGGCATGCAGATGACCACACAGAAAGCTTGTTCAGGCAGCTGAAAATCAACCCAAAAAGCTGAATTTCAGCCAGATCAGCTTCCTAACTTGGCCCACAGTCGGCACATTGGGACCAACACAAATGTACGCCAGGGAGATGTGCCAGAGCAGCTCGACCTACAGCAGCACCCTTAGCACGGCACAGCTACAACAGCAACAACCCTTTTGGTCCACGCGGTTTATACCTGCAGAGGGAGTCTGCTCCTTTGCAGGAGGCTTTGTCAGCTTAGCTATCAACAGCAAACTCGGCTCTGCTATAGCCAGGGCTTGAATCACTGTCACAGGATACAACTTCCCCACTGCCTGCGGCATGCCGGCAGCTGGCCAACATGCGGTGATTCAGCACCCGCCAATGGCTCATACAAATATTTTCTTCTCTCCTCTAAATGAAAGTCCACAGGCTCAAGCGATGCCATGGGGAAAAGGGGCTGGAAACAGGCATTATTTTAAGCAGCTTTTCAACCCTCCGCTATCTTCAAAATCCAGGCAAAGTGTATGGAAAAAGGTAAGCAAACAGACTTTTTTGTTCTCAATTTATTTATTAGTTTCCAAATGGGAGGGGAGAGGAGAAAGCACAGGGAAAAAAATATCCCTCCTGCTTTCTAAACTCGGTATATCTCTTCCACTGCTCCCTCCCTCCAAATCATTAAAACAGCAATAAAAGGTACGGTCCCTATTCTAGGATTTCTTTGGCCATGCCACTTGCACGTGACTGTCAAACCATCAGACATAAAAGAACCACTTTGGTTTGTGGGCTCTAAAGTTTTGTTTGCATTTTCAACTTAGGAAACACGTTCCTTCAGACCCTGGAGACAAAGCTGACCAAAAGTTTCACTGAGCTGAACTACCCTATGAATAAGAAAGCAAACTACAATTTATTTCTAAGGTAGGATTAGACTAAAAATACACCACAATCCACTGCACGGTCATAACATAGTGGCAGACTCACATAAAGCCCCTGTAAACCTGCAGGTTGTAAATTCTACTAGTTGTCTCTCTCAAGGTGACCTGCTCATCACTACAGATAAAACCTGACAGATCTGCAGAGTTTAAGCCCCCCCACAAGACACATCACTCACATTTCACTGTTAAAAATCCTACTTCAGATGTGCAGCCAGCACTACGACAAAGTTTGGAAGCCCCAGAATTTGGAAGGAAGAGACAAGATGGTTTCTACAGCAGGCTTAGGTTTACATCTACTGATTTTGCCTCCTCTCTCCTATCCTCAGCTGCAGAAAGCGCAAAGAAGAATGCGTAGAGAGATTAACATCAAATACACACGCACGCCACCCACGCAATTTTCCCCTGCACTTCAAAGCTGCCCTTTCTTTTTAAAGTTCAAACAAGTACTAAAAAAAAAAAAAAAAAATCATTGAAGCCTGTATAAAAGTGGCAACTTCTCCCCAAATTAGAGGGGAAATCCACCGAGCCAGCACTGCAAAACAAAGCACCTTGTGAACAGGAACATGTGCACACATCAGACAAGAACAAACTCCCCCCATTCCTCCTCTGTGCTGAGCTTAATTAGTCCTTCCAAATCACTGCAATGCGATTAGAATCTCCTGGGAGCCAAAAATCACCAATTCCTGTCTCTTTGCTCTTGCGTAACGCGATTAAGAGTAAGAACAAAAGTAGTAATTAGTGAGAAATAAGAAGCATCCATCTGCTGCTGAAAATGATTACTTTTAAAAACTGCTTAAAAACCTGGAACATCTCTCGGTACAATTTAAGGCAAAAGGCATGCCTGCACACCCCCCACAAGGGCATTGTTAGTGTTTTTATGCCCATGTTTAAACTAAGGAGAATTATAGCCCCCATGTCTCAAATAAAGGCAACTTCTATAAATAATGCAAGCTGCTCATCTGATTTTAACATTCAGAAATCTAAAAAGACATGTTTCATTTTAGCATTTATTAAGCACACCAAAAACCTTCAAAGAGGAAGCAGGGGACTGCTCTCCAGAGATCCTGCTTAGGAAGATGTCCACATGACACAGGGCAGGACCGTGCGGGGATCCTCAGGCTGCTGAAAGTCCTGGGAACAGCACAAATGTGTCACTGTGGTGCTTTTCCCAGACTGAGCAGCAGAGTATTAGCCCCAAAAAGTGCCACTCTGCAACATGTTGGGGAAATCAGAGCACAAAGGAAGTGAAATTGCCTCACTGAGGAGCGCAGACAGAAACTTTTTGTGTTTTCCACATAGCATAGCCACAGATACACCCTCCAGAAACACCAACAAGCTCCATCTGCCTTCAGGGACCATCACCAGGCACCACCAAAATTGGATGAGCAGTCCCAGCTGCTTAAAGTAGGTTAGCAAATCCAGCGGACAGAGACCTGGCAGTAACACACATTGCTTCTTGGAGATGGCAGTGATGAAATTCAGGAAAAAAGCCCCATTTGTTTTAGTTTACAGCACTGCAAAAGTTGAATCAGGTAAACCAGAAGCCTTCTTGGTAGAAAAAGCCAGCAGCGCCTCCTGAACAGATCAATTTAAAGATAAAGATAACTGACAGCATTGCACCCTCCCTGTTCTAGCCATTTCTCTGTTTTACAGCCTCACCGGTTACTGAAGCTAACTGCGGCACTCTGAGCAACCAGTTACAGCAGGGCCTTCCAGAGACAGAAAACAGAGCATCAGTTTGAAAAAATGCTCTTTTAAAATTACTAACTGTCCAAGCCTCCAGAAATAATTCTGAAATGTTAATTCTGTTTTGGGGAGAAGAAAATAAAAGGAGTCTTTGAGCCCAACTACTTAAAGAACATGTGACCTTCATACGTCCACCCACATCTCTCCATCAATGACTAGCCACTCTGGACACTCTTTACAGGAAGGGCAGTGGTGGGGGAAGACAAAAAGTCCACTGGAGAGACTCATTTGGACAAGATAATTACAGGGATGCAATTAATCTTATGTTTCCAGCCAATCGACTTTTCAACCCTACCTCTCACCCTGCAAATGTGACTGTTCAACCAGCTAGAACGTAACTCCATGGCAGGTTGCACGCTCCTCCATTTGCTTTGCTTCTGCTTGAATCTCAGCTGTGCCTCTGCAGCACAATCCTCGTAAGAGAGGGGAAGAAGAAAGGAGCAGAGGGAAAAGCGGGATTCCCCAGAGAGCATCTGTGGAGGTCTCACATTGGCGTGATCAGTCTGATTGGTTTGGAGCAGTTTTTTACCTGTTCTGAACCTCTACTCTTAGGCAACTCTGCTTTTAAATTTCAAGTGAAAGAGCACACAGGGCCAAGGTTGACACTTTTACGTAACAAAAAATGAACACACGTGTTGCAGGCTTCAGCAAGCAAAGTTCTCCAAGCATACGATAAGTGTCACAGAGCTATCTGCCTCTTGTATCAATTGACATCTCAACTATTGATAAAGATGAGTTTCAACAGCTTTAGACCCAGCCTCTTCCCTGCTCCAGAGATAATCTCACCAGTGTTCTCAGCACTGCAAACCAGGAAGGAGATGAGGTGAGGTTAAATGCTTTTTACAAGCAAAGAGGCATGTTCCTTCTCTAAACTTGAAGGTGGCACAAGGAATACAGTTCCAAGAAGACAAGTCACAGGGTGCAACCCCCTGCTATCAAGAGCAATCAGATCTTACACTCCCAGATACTGCACAGTCGAGTTTCATCTTCAATCCAGTTGGAGTTTGGTCCCAACTACACCTACTACTATCAGGCTACTCCAGTCCTTACCCTCCTTAACACAACCAAGCCTCCAACTGTCAGATTAAGCCCATTCAAGGCCAGTTCACCCCATAAGCTCTTGTGTCAACACTGCCTTCCCATATCGATCCTCAGCCGTTGCTGGCCTTCTCCCTCCCTAGCACATTTGCAGACAGCAATCACCTCACACAGTCTCTGAAAAAAATCTCATCTGGCTTCTTCTCACAAATGGAACTATTTCTTTGCAAGTTATTAGGCAGCCTGTTTGTATCACAGCTGCACCTGCCCACCATGCTAGGAGATAAGACCTCACTGTCCCAGGCACCACATAAACAGGGAGAGAATTTGGCCTCAGGAATTCAGGATCCTTACCAAAAAGGTAAAGTGAGAGACAGGAGCGTAAAAAAACATGGCTCATTTTTGTAACAATAATTCACCGTGCAAATTCACAGCTTTTGCTCTTTGACTAACTTTGAAATCATCAATTTAAGGACACACACCTGGACTCTTGCTAGGAACTCTATCAAGGCTTTAAAACTGGTTTCCACCCTAGCACACTGGAAGGCCACATAAGCATGGAAAGACAGCTTCCCAGCTGGACAGATGGCAGTACGTGCCACGCCTGTTTGGTCACCAATACTTCAAGCTACTTGTTGGTGACCAGCCAGCCAGCCTGCCTCGTCCTCAATCTTTGCATTCTGGCAGGCTCCCAGATTTCCAATTCAAAGATTAAAATTGAGAGGAGCTACTCAAAGTGACGCTGCTCTGTTTCACCATCCCCCACTGACAACCAGCCAGACTGCATTACACTGGTTCTCTTTTCCAACTGCCATCAAGCCTGTATCATTTAAGTGTGAAAAAGCACCGAAGTAAATGGTCTTGTCTAAAGAACCACTTCCCTGAGTTAAACTGTCTCTCATAAAGCTTCACCAAGAAGAGCAATTAGCAACTGTCTTCTGTACAGCTATGTTGGCATGGCATATACCAGAATGAGCTTGACCTCAGCCTCAGCTGGATAGCAGAGGGTGCATTTACAGTTAAATCAAAGTCAAAAAATATCCAAAATGCTCCTGGGACACTTGAAGACAGGCTACTTACAGCACCACAAGAGTTGGGGCCCCCATTGAAGAGCGTACAGGCAATCCTCACTACTTCTGCTTCCATCTTCCTCAAACCAGGGAATATATCCGGATGGAGAGGATTACTCCAGGCAAACTCTTCATACACCTTCAGGAAACAATGACACAAAGTTAGCCTTGCAGATGAAGCACCGAATTATCAGTGCAGATTTGGGAACTTCACCATACACACTGTATAAGCAAATTAGCTGCATTTAGCCATAGACAATGCTGCAGATCTCCTCGGACTTAACTACTGCTGCAAGTAAATATCACAAGCTGGGAAGCTAGGGCTGAGGGGGTGAAAAAAAACCTCACTCATTTTTCTAGGGCATTCTGCCCTCTGGAGTGATTCTATAACATCGCAATATTTCTTTTTGTAAAGACAGGTTGAATCGTTTAGCTATTTTTTAAAAAGAACACAATACGCACCCTACAATTGCTTTACACAAAGCAGGCCAAAAAAACTTACTTTGCAGAACTAGTTTTCAAGTTTACTATTAAAGGGGAATTCTGAAGCAGCTAGAAAAGCACAACTGCCCACCCACACCGCAACAAAAGCGGCCGTAGAAACCAGTATTTCATGCTCACTCTGCAACTGAGGGCTCACAGGATAAGGCTGGAACAGGCCAGTTCCGACCTCCTGCAGTTGCAATCAGAAAGCAACTGCAGGGATGTTAAAAGAAATACAGCAGAAAAAACAGTGAATAATCAGCACAAACAGAGGGAATGTTTCCACAACACTCAATCCAAGCTGAGGCCCCTCTAGAAAGGCTGCCCTGAACTTTATGTTTCCCCAGAAGTGGCAAAGAAAATGTCAACGAGCAGAAGAAAACACCAATAGCAACCACCAGAGCTCATTACAGCTGTTATAAAAGCTGTTCCCAGGAGCAAGAAGGCTAGACTTCCCTTTCTAGCAAAAAATCTCTGGAGGTAGATATACTTGAAAGCAGACCTTTGGGCTCTTTAGGTTATTTTCCAACCTTCTCAAAGGGAAAAGTTCCTGAGTAGGTAAACAGACCTAACAAAGACGCCACTGAAGCATGCCAATTCTCCATTGTTATAAGATTTGGACTGCCAAAAAACATTTTACAAACTTCTTTTTTGCTTAAACCAAGAGGAATTCAGTTTTGCTCAGTGAAGCTGTTCCAGTTCAAAGTCCCACAGCCTCCCAGTAACAGGACAGCCAAGGATGCTTTCACTCCAGCCTGCAGCAAAGGCACATGTGTCAGGGGGCTTGCTGAAGCTGATCTATGGCAATTTTATGCCTCCTACCATTCCCTGAATTAGAAGGTCAGTACCAGTTCCCAGTTCGCTTGTTACCAGCTTCTTACTTTCTTGCTGAAAAAAACATCTTGTCTGATTGGATCCTAGTTATCGCTACACGGTGTTTTCACAGGGACAGTCACTTGGCCAGGTTTACACCGCCCAAATGCTTTGCTAATAATTCCCCTTCCGCCTACATTTACCCTAGGCTTTGCCTTCATAGTTGGGCAGTCTTAGTTTCAGATCTTCCCTATTTATTTTGAAAGATGCTGGAACAGCGTTGAGGGGTTTCTGGTCACCCTGAAGATGCTAAGTATATCTGCAAAGATGCAAAGTTAGGCTGCTTGCACTTTACCTTCACTAGCAGATGGGTGAGTTTCTCTTCACCACTGTACACAGTCCCAGAGACCTTCCCATCCTGCCAACGTACGTCTCCTGAAAAAGAAGGAAGAGCACTCTGCTTGAAAAAGCCATTCTCAGAAAGCATGCAGAAGTGCAGAGAGAGCTTCCCACCAGTTCTGCAGATGAGGATTCAGCTTTTGAGATTTCACTGATGAGGAACAAGTACGATTTTTGTGCTGCAGAGATAGCTGTGTGCGACACTAAGCCTCTGGCATCGTGTATCCCACGAACTTAGCAAACTGCAAGTAAACGATGACTAAAGAGTCAGCACATAAACAACATCTAGCTGCAGCAAGCAGTTATATTAATACGTAATCCACTTAATCCCCAACTCGGTCTCCCCAAACTGCTGTCCAACCAACTGAACCCTGAAGTGGCTAAACTTAAAGCCATTTTCAAAGAGCACCCTCACCACTGTAAACTGAGGAGTTGGAAATGCCAGGCTTGTGTTGCTAAAACCTACAGTGTCGGGTGCCTCAATTAAATTTCACCTAAAACAATATGCCACTGAAGCTTTAACAAATGGGAGCAGGTGGATGGAACAGTAGCAGCAGCACACCCTGTTGAAAAGTGTTTCAACCCACTGCCCAATGCGATGGTACTTAACCAAGTAACTTTCTGCCTCCAAACACCCCAGCAGTGTACTTCCACTGCTTGGTTATTTTCTCCCTCTCCTAACTGTTAGCCTCCTTCATGAAACTCAATGACATCAGCTTCACGAGCATATACAAGGTGAACATAGTCACAATCCAACCCTCATTTCCAAGCAACCTGAGGAGAGTGAACATGTGTGGGAAGGAGGAGGCCACAGGAAAAAAAGAAAGAACTCAGTGAAGGAAGGAAATAATCATTTGGGGGAAAACAGAGACAGAAGCTACATAAGCAATACATACAAGTAGAAAAGAAGGAAGTTGTTATAGGCTGCTCAACTGCAAAACTGTTTCTGAATTTGGAGTAGATGCACTGTTCCAGCAGAAAATTCAAGGCATTTCTCAAATTTGGATAGGTGCAGGGCAGCCATATCTTCTCTTCTGGACATGAAGTCACCCAGATTTGCTCATTACAAGTAAAAGGTGCATGAACCAGGGTGGAGTTATTTACACGAGTGAGACAACTCAAATTAAGTTTCAGACACTGCTGATACAGTCTCAAGCCAGGAGAAGAACATCACTGTGACTTTGCCTTCCTTAAATGGCATTTTCAAGGTGTAAACCTTATGACTTAATTAAGAGAGACAGTCTTGGAAATTCCCTAAAAATCCTGCTTGGAAGGTGGGAATTTTTTATTATAAGTATTTCCCAGGGCTTCACAGAAAACACATTTCTGGTAAAAGTCAAACATCAAAGGCAACTGCTCAGAAGTGTATTCATATAATTTCCTCCATATTTCTCTTCTCCTCAGCTCTTCCATCATCAGTCTAGAACTCTTGGGGAAGGAACAGAATTTCACTGTAAATACAGTATTAGAAGTCACAAATAGTGATCTTAGTCACTTCCAGGAGGAAAACAGACAAAAATTTGCAAGCAAAGAATGTCAAGGAAGAAATACTTAAGAGGAAACCATGAGCAGGAGTCATTAGATCTCATTTAAAAAGAGTAAGTCTAATGTTAGGTCTATGAAACAGACCCACCTCTGCTGCAGTACAGACTCATATTCATACCTTTTGAGCTGTACTCTTTCATCTTCTCCAGTACTTCAGGCTGGCTCATGCCTTGTTCCGGCAGCGCTTTGATATATTCCTTTTCATCTTTCAGGAAGGATAAACTGGAAGTGACATCATTCAAGGCTTCATCAATCTTCTTTTGAATCTAAAAAGAAAGGAAAACCCTATCAACAATGGCGCTGGCCATATTATAAATAATTGTTGAGTGCATGCAAGATTGAACTCACTAGCTACATCCATACTATTGAGCAGAATAGACAGGAACTGTTTCAGCTCTATGACCAAAAAGCATAGCAGAGTTGACAGCCACAGAGCTCAACTCTTCCTTCCTACCAACCTCTCCCTCCAAAAACAAGCTACCTGGAATGACCTGGCATACACTAGTCTCTAAAACACAGTGGGAATTGCCTATGGGAATGCTGGCTGGCACAGCCCAGAACTGTGCCAAGTAACCACTATGGCCGATTGCAGAGCAGCACTTGGACCACTGCTTGGCTGCGTTTCATTTAACAGCACAGACACCACAACGTTCAGACAGAGTATGTTCTTTACTGGGTACTGATGAGCAGTGGGAGCTTTGAGCCCCTTCCTTAATGCTTGAGAAAACAAAGCTCAAGGCAAAACCACTGCATTTTTATCCACCAAACCTTTTTACCATCACAGTTTTTAATTTGTGGAAGTCTTCAGATGCATTCTATTTTGTGCCTTGTCTCCTCTGCCATCATACACGCAGTTTAGAAACTCAAGAAAAGAGACAGAAACAATAAAGAAATCTCCACTGCAGGCACAGTTAGGAGATTTCTTTCCTCCCACCCACACCTTACATTCAGGAGGCCCAGACTTCTTCTCACAACACATTCCAAAGTAGAGACTCTTCTTCCAGGCAACACAGGTGTTGGGTATCATCAGCTTTAAAGACTTTTGGAAATTGGAATGCCTCAAAGTCAAGGCCTCCTGTAAGCAACTGATAGGTTATCAGGTATCAGCCTACCAAAGAGCGGCAACAGTACACAGACAGGACACACCAGGAATCCTCTGGCACAGGAGAGCTTAACAGCACTAGCCCTGAGAGGGTAAGTCTGGACAAAATAGGGATTGTATACAAAGGGCCCGGAAGGTGTCGTTTTCTAATAGGCAGGCAACAAATATAAGCAGAAGAGAACAAGTCAGTAATTCATCTCATCAAAGGCTACTCAAGTCAGAAAGTGAAAGTTGGGGCACTTAACATTACATAAAGGGGGGATGCTAGTCCCTTCCAGAGGGCTGGGGGACAAACTTGAGAACCGCTTCCGTGTCCACAGCAAAAGGAAAAAGTTCCTCTTTGCTACTTTCATTTGATAAAATTGCCTATAACAGACCTGAGCCCTCCCAAATCAACGTGTAAATCTGCCAACACATCAAGCAGAAAGAAGGGCAATCATCAAGTGTGATACCATCATTTACTAGGTAAAATAAACCAAGCTGTGCATTTCTTGATCATTAAGTCATTAATGTGCTAAAACATGCTGACATTTGTAGTTTCAAATTTTTATGCAAAAAAACCCCAAAACATCTCCCAAACATTAAAGCCTGTCTCATTTTAATGATTACACAAACTTCTGGTATCTTTGCGCTATAACGCTAACTATTGCTAATAGGTATCTGAGCTCTAAACTAATAATGGCCATGCATCTGATTTAAAAAATTACCTTTCTGTGTTGCACAACAAACACCTGCCTATCACACACTTGCTCAAGAATAAAACATCATTTCAGAAGAACAACTCAAGTTCAATCCTGTCCCCTTCTTCCATAAATAAAATTATTTTCTTAAAATCTAACAAGGAAGAAATGTTACTGGAAAATTCTACAACTACTAGAAAATTCTGTAACTGTACTTACTGATTCTTGGTTAAAAAAAAAAGTGGCACCCCCATTTTATGAGACTGATACTATGACAAAAAGGCTAGGCAGAAATTATAACTTTCATTAAACCAGGTGGCAGCAGAAGACCTTCCAGACCTATATCCTCAGATCATTGTGATCACAGTAACATGACAGCAAAGATGCACAGACCTGTAAGGTCTCAGAAAGCACTATGCAGGCTGAAACAAGGACCTAGGATAGTATTAAGAAAAGTTCTTCAAATACTTACCATAGCCCCGATGAATGGCATTTTTCTCAGTAGTTTAAAGAACTGTTTTTTAGTTCGGGATGTTAAACCTGAAAGACAAAAGTCAGAAATTAACCTAATACGATTCAAGAAACAAAAAAAAAAAATGGACTCGGAGCACAATACTTCTGACACAGCCCATGATACAGGCTCAGTATTTCTGATCCAGGCTACAATAACAGTGACCAAGGGGACATGGTGAGACAGATTAGCATATCAAAGAGCAAGGTTCAGAAATGAACAAGGCTACAGAAACATCTGGCTTGCAGAACAGTAGCCATCTATGGGAACTACTAATTTGACTCGTTTTCTTACTTTTATGGGAATTTGCACCCACACGTGGAATTTTACAGAGGAGGACTCTAGGATTTGCTAAAGGCAAGGTCTCCAGCAAAAAGGGAAAATACTTCTTGCAATTATTTTCTGCATCTTCAAACCAGGACAGTACTGTAACATGAAAACACTCAGCAATGTGTAATAGGCTCCCAGACCAAAGGGGGAAATAGTAGTTCAGCTGTAACGTGACAATGATTCACCTAGCGTCTGGCCATCCGATACAGGAAACGTGATGCAACGGGAGGCGACTCAGGGGAAGGGGACAGACAGAGGGAAGAGTAGAAATTCCACCACAGTCCAAATACTGAAATGAGAGAAGCCACTGATGACAAACACCAGAAAACTCCCGGGGCAGCTCTAAAGGCCGGAATGAAAGCGGGATGACACAGATGCTTTATAGCCACCAAAAATGCCTTTTGAGTCCTACAGGCATTTCAAGTGAATGCCAGCAGTTACAGGACACTTACACCAAGAAATAACTAAACAAACTTTAAAACCCAACCATTTTAGGACTTTGAAATTTTATCCACATTTTCCCTGGCACTTCATATATTTTGAAAAGCTACAGAAGGACAGTAATTGCAGTTTAGCACATTCTGCAGCAAATACTCGTTAACACTTTGACAATAACATTTCTATTGCACATTTCAGTGTGCACGCTGTTTCATTAATAACCTCCACAGTGAGAGAAGACTGCAAACTCCTGAAAAATTCAGACTATCTAATCAGATCTTGTAACAGTTAGTCTATACTTAAAAAAAATACTGCGCCACAGTACAAATTCTAGCCAAGAAGCTAACATAACCCTGTACTGAGCAAAAGCTTCATACCATTTTGTTCCTTCCACAGACGCTCCCATTATTTGGCTACTCTCATCTTTAAAAAGAAAAAAGGCTAGTTGAGGAACAGAGGCACAGAAATAAACATCAAGTTAAAAACTCGACTATTTTTAACAAAGTGCCACTGGAGTGTAACCCTAAGGCCTGTGGGAACTGTAAAGCACCGTGTTGTCCTCTGAGGGTGAGGTAGTTATCTCTGACCATCACACAGTCAGAGAAAACTGCAGGTTCGTCAAAAGAGATCTCAATGAAGAGCTGTCAATATCAGAAACTGCTCAAAACAGGAAGACCATGGGGGGGGGTGGTGTGGTGTGAAAAAATCCACACAACAATAACAATACCACGTGCAATTATCTTGAACATCCTGAGGATGAAACGTGCCTCTGACACCGAATCAAAACCACGTCTCCACCCCCAGCAGGAAGGGAAACAATCAAGAGCAAGAGTTATCCAAGCACTTTTCACCGGTGACTAAGTTCGTAAGAACCCAGCTCTCAAATTTCCTAAGGTTTTGAGCAAGAAGAGAGTGTTGCAACAAGTAAATGGTTTAGACAAAAGCAAACAGGAGACGAGAGGAAGGGAAGGAGATGCAGGCGCATTCCAGGCTGGCCTACCACACCCTCTGAAGGAATGGAGGTGTTTCATTGATCAGACAGGCCTTGACCTTAATTTAGAAGAGAGTTTTACTAATACTAGTTGACAGTAGAAGGCCTATTTTGACAAGCGTTTGGCCTTGTTTCATCCTCTTTCTCTCCACTACTTAGGAACAACTCTGTCTCCCCTCCCTTCCCCCCAGACATAAGAAAATCCCCTGTTACAAATACTTACTCTCAGACTGGAAGAGGAAGCCATGCAGCCATACACTTATAAGCGTAAAAGAAAATGTCAACCCAACCAGTTGCCAGGGTTCAAGTCCATTGCACTGGGCATTCACAAAGCTCGTTGCCTTCTCCCAATATATCTGGAGGATTTCCTTGTAGGGAATAATGGCATCCTGCACAAAAGCAAATGAGACCAATATTGAGAAAAGTCCAAATGCACACAAATAGGGCATCAAAAAGTCTGTGAGTCTCTTGTCTATTAAAAAGGTGCTTTTCAGTATGCAGACCCCATGCTTTCCTTAATTCCTGTAAACAGAACAGGCAGGAGATACCTGTCATTCATTTCTAGTCAAGAGCTACAGATTAAAATACACATCTTGGGAGATTTGAAATATTCAGAGAGAAGGGCCAAGGGCAGGCGAGTAAGATGTGCAAGCTTCACAGTCCCAAGACTCATCACCTGATCTTTACCATAGCCCGAGAGAAGCAATTGTGTTAATCTCATTATTTTTTCCAAGGAATTATTAGGTGGTGAGTGAAGACTGAACTACTACAATACACCTGTCAGAGAAGCCACCGTTCATCAGATACCACCAAAACAGGTCTATTAAGTACCCAGGACTGGATTTTTAAAGATAGTACTTTTTAAAGAAGAACTATTCAGCAGCTCCTTAAGTTCAAGATCCAATTAGTACTCTCCACACAAAGGGAGGACAGAAGAGACAAACACTGCTGCTGCCAAAAAAAAACCCCAGAAAACTACGATGCAATAACAATTACAATGTCAAAATAGCAATTACTGTTGGGACGGAGCCCAAGTACCTAATCAATATCTTCAAAGCATACTCTCTTCAAGAGTCTTGGAAGACCAGGGTGGGGAAAAATGGATGTACACAAGGGAAAAAGGCCATTTTCCCCCAAAACAGGGGTCTTCAGTACAATTCTCTGGAATAAGGTTTCTAGAAAAAAAGAAGAATCCAGGTAACCACACCTTGTTTAGCTACTTCAGCCGCCCCCAGAGCACTCTTCCCAACCCTTCTGCCCTTTTAACCTACCATCAAGCCTAGTTTTCCCCGGTTTTGCTGGAGAGTTTTCCAGGGGGATCTTCAGCACTACAAAGCTTCACCCTCCAAACAGAGAAAGCACACGGGGGCCTTTCAAGATTTGTTAATAAACATTGGAAGGAATACATCCTTGATACCCATGCTGTCGTACTCTTGGTGGGTTTAGAGTGGCTTGGAAAGAGGGATATAAATAAGCCACTAAATTAAAAGCTGCTAAAACTTCCCTTCTCAGAACCCTTTACAGATCTCGCTCCTGGGTCAAGTCAACAACAGAAGCAGCATTTATTTTTTTTTAGGTCACAGTTAGGGGTAACGTGCCATTTCAATACAACTACAGAGGCTACAAACAGCCTAAAAAAAGCCAAGTTCTTCCAAATAATCAATGGAAAAAGGCAAGATTCCTTGCCTTGCACAAAAAAGCCATTAATGAATATTCACTACTTTGGAAAAGCAGTAAAATGCATATAATGCAAGAGAGTTTAAAAATATTTAAGCAGCCCAAACATAAAGCTAAAAAACTCCCACAAAACAACAGTGTCAATGCATTGCAGAGGACTAATATCACCCACGTCCCAGCACAGACTGAAGGACACAGACTGAACTGGGCAAAACCAGGTCACCTCAGAAGGAGCAGCACTCAGCTATGAGAAGTCAAATTATCACCCATCCGCTTGGCAAAGGGCAATTTAAAAATACACCAGCTACTTCAGCCTTGAAAACAAGACAGCCACATAAACCACTGCAATTAGGCAATGTCCTAGCTAATGCCCAGGCCTCCAATCCAGTCACCACAAAGCTGATTTAACCCTAGAATTTAAGGGAAGAGCTACCTTTTCCAACTAACCAGAGGTGGCACTTAAGTTTCATCGAGTTTGCACAATATTCTCTGAAAAATCCCTGGAAAGGCACGTTTAACCAACAACAGCGACTTCGGTTCATTGCCTAGGAGCTAATGCTGGGATATCATCCAGTTTTGGAACTGCATTTAAAGGATGGAAATGGAGCCACTAATGTACTGGTATCTCGACAGCTGTTCTCAACTGATGGCAAGAAAATGCTGCAGCATCAAATATAAAGTGGGTTATGCTTTTTTTTCCTGAAGATGGACGATACTGTAAGCTATAAGCCCAAAATCAAAATGGAACATGACCTTCTAGACAGCAGTCACTTAAGTCAATGGCCAAGTTAAAATAAATTCATCTGGCAAGAGATTGAGCCCACTCTTGGAAAAAAGCTCTGGACAGAAGACGCCAGCCAGCTGCTCATTTTGATGTCAAATCACACACTCTCCACTGAAACCACTGTGTTCTGCAGCACATTGGCTCTCCACTGGGACAGGAGGAAAAAATAAGTCAGTTTTTCTAGACACAACAAATACCAGTGGCAAATCTTGCATCCTATCACAGGGATAAGCAAACCCTCAGAAAAGCCCTTCTGTCTTCTTTTTTCCAAGAGCCCATCAAACCAGTCCTCTGGTCTGTAAACACAGGCTGCTGACTCTGAACTTCAGGTGATCCCAAGCAAAGCACAGGTGGGACATCTGCAATGGGTGACAGCACAGTCACCCCAGCGTGCAGCAGCACAAAGGTATTTTCTCTGGCAGATTACCAGCAAAAAAGGCTCAGGTGCATAACAAACACATCACGGGTGAAGGAGCAACATCCACCTTTCTGCTCTTAGCCTACTGCATACACAAGGGTGCTATGCCTCTGCCTTGGCTCACTTTTCCATTACTGACATGCAAGAGAAAATATTTTACCTTAAGTCTACCCCAAGCTAGAAGCATCCATACCAGCACTGGTATATGGCAACTCAACAGTATGCCCAAATTTTGAACAAGAGAAGATTTTCATGATGTAAATTCTAAGCCATTGAAGAATTTCTTTCTTGCTTTAAAGAACAATCTGAGATCACTCCACAAAGAATATAGTTTGACAGGGTAAAGTTTTCTCTGTATTTCTCACTTGCTCCTTCTTCAGCCATTTCATACTTACAAGAGTTTGAAGGATGAGATTAATGTAGGAGGATACTAAAAAGAGGGATTAAAAAAACCAGAAAATTGGCACAGAAGGGGAGTCAGCAATGAAATACAATTTCTCAGCGCCCTGGCTAACTACACACTCAGTGTTCCTAAAGTGCCTCTTTGCCCCAAAGTATCCAGCAAGATGAGAGACCTCTACTTTCCGAATTACTAACTTAATCCTAGAGAAACTAGAGGCCATTTAGAAGGTTGCATTCGAATGTACTCTGTTTTTATTACACCCAACAGCATGTGATTGCAGCCTCACTATTGTGGCCCTACACCGCTTCCTTATTTTATGGGGAGGAGGCAGGGGTAATAAACATATTGCCTACATCCAGCCAAGCCATTTGAATCCCTTCCCCTGCAGCCCCGAAGGAGCTGCTCATAACAGAGTAAAAAACAGGGATTTTTTTTTTTTTTTCCAATCAACCTCAGCCAAAAGAAACATGCATCACATGCAGTAAGAAGGGATGCACTTCCAGCTTTGCAGGATTATAGCATCCATTCGTCCCTGCTATTACCGCTCCCCCAGCTGGGCTAAAGACAACAAGCTGGCCTGATTTTAAGCCTATCTACAGGACAGAATTTCATGTAAGACAACAACCTGCTTATTTGTGAAGACATCAAAAAAAAAAAAAAGGTTTCCCTTCCCATTATAGGATAGTAGATAAGCTGGTTTTATTTCCTTAAGAGAACCTTCACCCCACAAAAGCTTCACAAGACACAGGATTATTTTAGAAGCAGTTTAAAAGCCTTACTTATGAGCACACTAAAAAGCATGGGGGAAAAATCTCCACTGGAGGATTTGTTTTTAATTCTCAGAGCTTAATGCCCAGGTATCAGATAAAATACTAATTGCTATCACTAGGACTTGCAGTGTTCATTTGTACCGATATTAATGCACTTGGCAACCCAAGCAGTTTACATATTGAATTTTTTAGCTCCACAGATTAGGAATACATCCTTCATGCTTTATTTCTAAAAGCCATTAGCTTGCTGAGCTGGTTCCAGGGATAGCACTTAACGCCACTACAAAAGAGGACAAATTAACTGCAGTAATGCTCTTCTGTCCCAGATGATAGGAAAGAAAGAGGGGAGGAAAAAATGCCAAAGCTAATGAGAGCAGATTTTGCAGTTTTGCCAGAACAGCATTTCCTCAGCTGCAAGTTTTAGGACTCAAATAAGCCTTAAAAAAGAAAAAAGAGAGAGAGAGAGAAAAAGGCAATAAACTGGAGGACCTCACACTTTTGTTACAAGTGCCTCCAGTTTCTAGCACTGTAAAGTGGAAGCACTGTTAAAGTTTACCTGTGGGAAGAGTAGAAAAAAGGCTTTATCAGCAGCATCCAGCAGTATCTTCCTTGCCCCAGGAGAGCATTTAAAGTGGGCCACAGAATAAAAGTAGCTTTTAAAGGCAAGTTTATTTTAAGCAATAATATGAATCTTAGGCTCACTGTGCGAGTAGGAACTGCTAAGATCAAACCACATCCTCAGCTTCCACCTGAATCCACACATTTTCCCAAACCAGGGATCCTCCAACCACCTCCCTGTGCCCAAACCCTAACATTTGCATTTGCCATTTGTCTTTCCTCACTTCAGAGCTGATGAATGAGGCGGCGCGGCACACAGCTCGGCACATAGTAAATCAAGGCAGAGGGAGACTGCTCATAGAGACTGCACAAGCTAGGTCAATTCTGATTAGGGTAACGCATGGAATACAGTTATTGCCACTGTAATTAAGGCCTGTGCTCCGATGCAACAAGTTTTTCCCAGGAGAAGGCTTCCTGACTGAAGGGAAACCGCACAAAACCAGCAACGACACAGCAGCTTCATTTATTTATTCTGCTCCTAAGAAGAAGGAAGACTTCAATTAGCAGTGCCTTAGCTAACACCTTGTTGCCAGCACAGGCGCTGGCCACAAAAGGCACGTCCGGCCAGTGTAACTACGCAGCATAACTGGCCTAGCCACCGTAAGTACTGGACTTGCAGCCTTCAGCCAGCCAGCTTCCTACCAGAGATACAGGGAACAGGATTGAGTAACACCACCTCAGCCTCGGAGGGTGCTAGGTGCTCGCTGCGTGCGCCTGCA